TCATCAGAGCCTCTCTCCTCTCCGCCCTCTCAACCCCACCTTGTCCTCCCATGTCTCTTTCACGTCTCTTATCCCCCCATGTCCCTCTCTCACCTTATCCTTCATGGAGTAGATATACGCCTCCAGAGTGTCCAGTGTTCTTTGCCTCTCTTCTCTCCGCCCTCCCACATCTTCCTCATCCCTCACAACCTACGCACTCTTCCCAACTCTCCTGATCTCTCCTCGCATCTCACCTTATCCTTCATGGAGTAGATATACGCCTCCAGAGTGTTCTTCGCCTCAGCAACCGCCCGCTTCTCCACGACTCACCTTATCCTTCATGGAGTAGATATACGCTTCTAGCGTGTTCTTCGCCTCAGCAACTGCCCTCTTACTCATCCCTCACAACCTATTCTTCTTGCCTCTCCTCATCTCCTCGCATCTCACCTTATCCTTCATGGAGTAGATATACGCTTCCAGAGTGTTCTTCGCCTCAGCAACCGCTCGCTTCTCCTCATCCCTCTTCTTCAGCTTGTCCAATCGGATCTCGGCATCTGTCATCTCCTCATCCGTCATCATGCGCTGGAACCCCTCTGTCGTATCAGCCACCTGCAGAGGCACTCGGATCGTCCTCTTCCTCAGCTTCTTCCTCATCTGCACTTTAGGCGCCTCTGCCTCCTTCTCCCCCTCCTTCTCCCCCTTCTTCTCACCGTCTTTCCCCGCCTCCTCTCCGCCCTTCTCGCCCTCTCCCTTCTCTCCTTTCTCTCCTGCGCTCTCGCTCCCAGAGTCACTGCTGCCGTCTCCTGCTGAAGCATCCTTCTCCGCTGCAGTTGCCCCTGACTCATCATCACCAGCACCACCCGCAGCACCGTCACCAGTAGCGTTGGCGGCAGTGGCATTCGCAGTGGCGTTGGCAGTGGCGTTAGCAGTGGCATTGGCAGCGGATGGGGGCGGGATGACCGGCACCTCAATCCACTCAGAGAAGTCAACGACCAGCTCTGCCTTCTCGAGCCCCACCGTGCCGCTGCGGGTCAGGTGGAAGTGCAGACTCGCCCTGATGGGGTGTGTCAGGTTGTACCCCGAATATCTGGAAGGAAAAGGGGGGGGTGAGGGGGCGCAGGGGAGGGATTATCGGCACCTCAATCCGCTCAGAGAAGTCAACGACGAGCTCTGCCTTCTCCAGCCCCACTGTGCCGCTGCGGGTGAGGTGGAAGTGCAGACTCGCCCTGATGGGGTGCGTCAGGTTATACCCCGAATACCTGGAGGAAAAGAGAAAGGAATGGCGAGGCACAACAGGGCAGAGCAGAGCAGAGACGAGCAGACAGAATGAAGGCATGGGGCAATTGTCAGCAGAGAAAGACCCCCATTTGGGATAAAGACAGGCAGCCGATGGGGAAGGGATGTTGGGCACATGGATCCACCCAGAGGAAGGCTGCACCCTTGGACTGGCATCGGGCAGGCCGCACCCTTGGACTGGCATCGGGCAGGCCCTGTGTCTCATGGTAGAGGACGACAACCCAAACTCGTTCTACTCACATACGGAACTCTTTCAGACTCTTTGGACCCTATCTCACCATGTCACTCCCTGCGCTTGGCCACGCCAGACCCGTGCAGAGTGGAGATAGGGGCACTCTTGGGCCAACGGGGATGCAGGCCTTGTGGCCCATGCCACAGGGGATATAGCCCGTCCCATCCACTTACGGTAACCCTTTTCTCTCTCTCAAATCGACCCTCTCCTACCACAGCACTCACTTGGCAATGCCCTTGGCCACGCCAGATACGTGTAGAGTCGAGATGGGGGCACCCTTGGGCCAGCGGGGAGGCAAGCCCTGTTCCTCGTCGTACAGGAACGAGAGAGTGAAGTCACTCGCTTGCTCCTTCAGCGACCGGATGATCTGCAGGGCAATGGAGGGACGGGAGTGCAGCAGGTTTGATTAGCCCCTCTACTACATATCACATCGCCCTTGGGCCAGCGGGGAGGCAGACCCTGTGCCTCATCGTACAGGAACGAGAGAGTGAAGTCACTCGCTTGCTCCTTCAGTGACCGGATGATCTGCAGGGCAATGGAGGGACGGGAGTGCAGCAGGTTTGATTAACCCCTGTTCTGCAACATGGAATCCATAGCATAAGACTCTCCTAATGCATTTTCTGAGGTACCCACACCTGATCATCATAACACTCTGCCACAGATCACCCACAACCTGAGGAAGAAGGAAATCATAGATTGGAGTTCATGACAGCGTACCTTGATGGGCATTTTCTTCAACCGGGGAAACAGCATCTCCTCCACCACAGCCCCCTCTGATGCATCCGCTGCCCCTCCATCCCCACCATCACTGCCGCCATCACTCCCAGCACCCCCATCCACAGGCAAAGGCTCCACCCGGTACTTGACAGCAAACGGCAGCCCGTCGATCATGCCGATCCGACGGTTGAGCTTGAATCCGTCGCTCAGGTTCGCCGCCAGCAGGGACGCGCCCAGAGCGAGAGCCTCGTCAGCGTCGAGGTGGCGGTCCAGCGAGCGGTTACCACCCAGTGCCTCCGTCAGAACAGACTGCATCCCATCGAATCAAATCAAACCCGATCAAATCAAATCAGGGCAGAGGAGGGAGGATAAGGGTACCCGGTGAGAGGTGCGGACAAGGAAGAGCGGCACAGATGGGATGGCAATAGAGTTGGACTGTAAGGCAATACGAGTAAATTCGAGCCTACCTACCTGTACTTTGGGCATGCGAGTGGCTCATCCCACGAGCTCCACAGCATGCACGTCGTCCATGGTGATGTTGGCATCTGCTATCGCTCCCTGCTTGCAGCGCATTCACCGCGTCTCCCCCAAGCCAGTTGCCTACCTGTACTTTGGGCACGCGTGTGGCTCCCCCCACGAGCTCCACAGCATACACGTCGTCCATGGTGATGTTGGCGTCTGCTATCGCCCCCTGCAGCGGCGCCACCACTTGCGGCCACACGTCCGCACACAGCTCCTCAAATTTCTCCCGGGTGATGGATGACCTGCCGTGTGCCAATCATGTAATGCACGCAACACACAATGCATAAGCTACCGCCACTTGCAGTGATAGCCACCACTTGAGCCCACACAGCTCCTCGAACTTCTCCCAGGTGATGGATGACATGCCGTGTGCCATGCATGCAATGCAAGCATTCATGAATCGACTATCAAAGCCCCCTCAGGCCTCAGCCTCATACCTGAAGTCATGGTCATCGTAGAGAGATTCCACGGAGATGGGGGCCTCGGAGTTGGCGCTGAGGATTTCCTTGGTGCGCTTCACCTGCTTCTTCAGCTTCGCCATGGCCTTGGGCGACGTGCGGATGTCCACGCCACTGTGCTTCGCGTTGAACTCGGCCGCGAAGTGCTCCAGCATCCGTGCCTCGAGTGTCTGCCCTCCCAGGTCTGCGTTCCATCTCACGGACTTCACCTGCACAGGTCACATTTGACGCGTGCACGAAGAAAGAGGTAAACGGCTTATAATCACGCCAGGGTTCACTGGGACTGTGTTCAGTGGTCAAGAAAGTGCTGTGTGGGCCAATGAAGACAGATGAGCAGAAGGATTCTGTTAGCGAATCAGAAAGACAGCATATTGGTGCGTTTGACTGACCTGAAACTGGTTCACAGTGATACTCTTCCCGCGCTCCTTCGTCGCGTAAGCCGAGTAATAAATCACGGCCGCATAGGTCGACGTGGCACCCATGTCGAAGATAACCACATGTCGACTGCCATTGCTAAAGTCCTTATCCATGCCGTATTGCAGCGCAACCCCGGCATGCTCCTGAATCAACGCCATCACATTCACGCCAACAAGAGCGCCAGCGTCAATAATCGACTGCCTCTGGCTCTGGGAGAAGTACGCGGGAACGCTAATGACAGCGTCCACAATCCCGGTTCTTCCGTGAGCATCCGCTAGACCCTTAGAGTAACCCAGCTGCATCGCGAGCAGCTCTTCAGCGGAGTACTCCGTCGAGCCGTCGTGGGTCCGAATCCGCACGGGACGCTTCCGCTTCAATTTCTTCGCCTTGTCCTTGCCTGACGAGCGCTCCGAAGCCGCGTCGCCGTCCGTCTCTGACGTCACCTCGCTGATGACTTCCGACTCCATTGAGTCGTCCTCCGTTTCTTCCTCCGGCCTCCCATCCCCTCCGACGACATCGTACGGAAGATAGCTGCTTTTTAGTAGTTCCTTAACCTCATCAACTGGAACGCCGACCATGTCCCTCGCTCGTGTGTACACGCGATCGGGGTACCTAGCGGCGATTCCAACGGCTTCCTCTGACAGGAGCCTATCGCCGTTGGATATCGCCACGACAGACGGAGATTTCCGCTTGGACATTTCGTTGATCGCGATCGAGATCGGACTCTGACCGGGACGCGGATTGACCACAGCGACCTTCATGGATTCCGAACCCAGGTCAACGGTGAACACCGCTCCGCTCACGAACGGAATCAGCGCTAAAAGTGTGAGAGATACCCCCAACACCAGTCGCCATCTTATTTGCTCGGAAATATTGCGACGCGGACCCATGGTCGGCGTTCTGGCTTCACAGTACCAGCTAACTCTGCACAACTACGAATTGCGTGCGATCAGGCGTTCCGATCAGGAAGACTTCACAACCTGGGAGTAATAGCAGGCAACTCTCAGGCAAAACCTGGGTCTGGGAATGTCTCCCAGGACGTGGGAAAATGAGAGCTGGCAAATATGAAAGCGAATGCAGAGTGAGCAGATTCTTTTCGCGGCATGTGAAAAATGCTGGGAGGGAGATCCCGAGGAAGCGAAGAGGTTTCGCGAACGCCGCGTTGATTCGATGAACTGAAATTCCCTGCGGTGGATAGCAGAAGCCAGCGAAAGAGAAGGTTCTGAACCAATCAGATCACCAGAACGACGTGGCCCTTTCGCTAAAGCACTTTTGTTCACAGACCAGGAAATTCGGATCTCGTGCAAAACATGGCTTTCCCTCACATTTCTGTGGCTAACAAACATTTTTGAATTGGTTGCCATCAAGCACACGCAGTCATGGCTTCTGCTCGTGTGCCAGAGGCGGTGGCCAACGAATGCCTGGCGCTTGTATTCCAAATGCAGGTGATATCCTGTGTTATGCCTCGTGGTTCTAGTAGTAAAGGCTTGCATGAAGTCTGACGTCGATTCCTCAGATAAAAACGAGAAGTGGAAACCCGATATCGCAATGTACAAGGTGGTGTGCTGCCTCTTTGTTCATCAAGCTCGCAAGACGTCTGGATACAATTGAGGCTGAATGCGCAGACAGTCCTGAAAGGTACTAACTCATGGCGAGTTAAGAAGGTCTATAACTGACGTAATCACGTTTCCGACGACCAGGATCTTGAATGCGTCAACTGTCCTCCAGCCCGACCGGTCAGACTGCTTGTTTCTGACATTGGTCTTACTGTGGGTCGGAAGCAAGGTAGGACGCCTCATGCTGATAATTGCGACTTTCTTCTTCACACAAGTCTAACGCGCTGGTAGTGCAAATGTTTGAAACTCAGCAAATATCCTTGACGGAGCTGAAGGCTTGTTCATCCCGAATCATTAACGACAAAGTTTACACTGCAAAGGACTTTGTGAAGGCTGTAAGTTGCGACAAATGTCCGGTTTCACATGGTATTCTTGCGGTGTTTCTTATCCCTCTATTACTTCTTTCAGGAAATTGAGCTGCTGGGGGTAAGGATTCCCTAATGCTAGTTCTGGCAACATGAGTTCCCTGACAAGACATAACTATATTGAGCAGACAATAAACTTCGAGATTGAGACAGGAAGGTCATGCCCCTCAGTCCTGGAGGACCTGCTGAGAGAACTCAGGTTAGTTACCGGTTTTCCGCTCTAGGTTCGCTAATTGCTGCTTTCAACGGTGCACCAATGTTTCAGGCGAGTTTCTCGAGTTGGTGACTTCATCAAACTAAGTACGTGCTTCACAATTTACACCTTCTTGCACTCTGATTCTGTTTTACGGCAACATTTGTCTAGAGCAGCACTTCCTGCCTCCATCATTGTGAGTATTGCGACCAGTCTGATGTCATGGACAGCTTGATGGTAATAAATAAATAAGAGTAATGCTCTTCCTGTAACAACTTCAGGTTGTTGCCTACCTTATTTCGGTACCTAAAAAGCAAGCGTTGTTCCCAGTGCTCCAGTGGGGTAAGACAAAGGATGCAGCACAATCTGCAGGCCGAAAGAACCTCTGATTAACCACCTAGCTGTCCCTTGCAGTTTGCGCAATGAACAATCAGGACCAGGATGAGGTACACGGCCTCACAAGACTTATTCTGCAAAACATTCTTGAATAGGCGCTGTAATCAGCTGGATGTTTACAATGAATACTACAACAGACAACAGGGGGCTAACCAGCATCCCTTCCACATAGAAAGATTGGTCTTAACCGTTTGGATTGGAGGATACTATGACCACCAGCTCTTCTGTCCATTAATCTCACACGCAGCAGTACCCATTGCTAGTCTTCGTCCATCCCAATGCAAACCTCAGGGAGATTGCGATAATCGTCTTCCAAGGGCTTTGTGACAACCAGTGGTTCTGCATCAACAAAAACGGTCAAAACAAACACCAATAATTTGTGCAACCACGGAGGCTCACAAAAAGGAGAGAAGAGCACATGACTTACTCATTACGGCATCTGATGAGAACGGGAACATTGCAGCATCAGGCTGCCCCCGAGACCGGGTAGAACTTTGAAGCTCTCGGAGAATCTCTGGTGACATCTGCATACAAGAGGAAGCCGACAATGAGGATAAATCATTACAATCTTTCCTGGTTGGAGTGGTGTGTCGCAGCAGTGACACAATGTCTCCATGGCTCGCATGAATACTTACCAAGTGATGGTGCTGCCGGCTGGTGATGAGAAACTTTATATCAGCCTTTTGTTGTTGGGTCAACTCATTCTTGTACCTGACATGATTGAGCCAGGAAACAGAAATAAGCACAAAATGGAAACACATGGTGACAGAACATGCAAAAGCTTGGCAAAATAAATATCAACAACCAAATAAGCCCATTGGATTCGTTGAAAAAGACACACCTTTGGATGAGGGAGAGCAGGCACTGGTGCCAGATTACTGGCAGCTCGCGGGTCTCAGAGCGAAAGCGCAGGAAGTGTCCAACCACTGCATCAATGACCCGATATGGCAGGGCATACTTCTTGTCCAGCAGAAGCTTCATGAAATAACTGCTCAACCAAGGGAAAAGGCATGACACAAGCCACGATTGAGATTACTGGTTGTCAAAGCCAACAGAATGACTTATGCTCAAGAATCACTACATGGTTCCGGGTGGGGCTATTCAGATGTTAATTGCAAGCTCCTACTCCCACAGCTCCTGCAAGCACCTCACAGTATCAATAATGCCAATGTTGACAAACCAATGTCAATGACCATGGCTGCTGAGAGTCGTCTCAACGACCTCGCAACAACAACTTTTCCCCACTGATCATGGCTTACTGCTCACCTGTTTGTGCCGGCATACTGCATCTCTGCAATCTTCATCAGGGCAACACTGCACGTTGTGAGAGCAAAAAAGGTGGGTTGATTCAGTCAACAAACTTATGAATCATGACAGGGACTACCACGATATGTGCAGATATAAAGTCAGTCAGATACAAAGTTAAAAAAGTCACAACTCACCTTGAGTGTAGCACGGGAATCGAGACCTTCTGAATCACGCTCCCTATGATCACCGCCTCACGGAGCGTGCAAGTCTGGGACTGGCACAGCGGCAGCAACACCCCTTTATAAAACGCTGCAGGCTTATAAACTGCCTTCTTAAGCGACTGATACAGTGCAAAGTGCAGCTTCTTATTAAGCCTAATGTCCCGACGCACTCTCGGCAACAGCACCAGCCGGTAAAACCTCTGGGCGGCGCGAGCGTTGAGATTCGATGCAAAAAGACGAGTGGCGGCAAAGACAGCAGCAGGCGTCCAGCTGTCAGGGTCTGTAAGGAAGAGCACATCCTCCCAATTGCTCAGTGCTGGCACGATCTTGAATGCCTTTGGGACCTTGCCGGACCGGTAACGACTCAGCAACTTGCCCACTCTGCAGGAAAGGGGGAGGGGAAGGATAAACGTTCAATCGATCAGCTAAGACAGCAGCAGGCGTCCAGCTGTCGGGGTTTGTGACTATATTTCGCCCAAGCAGCAAAGACAGACAGCAGCAGGAGCCCAGCTGTCAGGGTCTGTAAGGAAGAGCACGTCCTCCCAATTGCTCAAAGCTGGCACGATCTTGAATGCCTTTGGGACCTTGCCGGACCGGTAGCGACTCAGCAGCTTCCCCACACTGCAGGGGTGAGGCATGCAAGGGGAGGGTGACAGGAATGGGGGGAGGGGAACAGGGTAGCGGATAGGAGCGAGACAACTCAAACCATGTTCGCTCACCTTCGGTACACCTCCATAACTTAGTCATTCAAGGAGGAGGGGAAGGAAGAAAAGGGGAGGCGAATGAAGGGGAGGCGAGGGCAGAGCTTCAAGACACTCTCACTCTCACTCACCACCTCCATCACTTTCTCATCCAGGAAAGAGGAGGGGAGTGGAGAAGAGAGGAGGGGAATGCGTGGGAGGCGAGGGCAGAGCTTCAAGACACAATAACTCTCACTCACCCTCGGTACACCTCCATTACTTTCTCATCCACTCCCGGAATCCGCCTCTCCCCCTCTTCCCCCCCTTCCCCTCCTCTCGCCCCCCCCTCGCCGCCGCCAGCAGCTGCCCCCGCCGTCCCGCCAGCTGTCGCCTCCTGGATTTTCGCCATGATGACGTCAGCTAGCGTGCGCTGACGTGGCGCCGCGCCTCCCCCTGCGAGGAAGACCGCGATCGCCCGCTCGTCCTCCTCCGTCACCTCGTCCGCCTGCCACGGAGCCAATCACACGAGGACACGTGGCAAAATGAGGTGCCACGCCACAACAAGGCGTCGAGATTGTGCAAGGCAGCGCACGCACGAAAATGTGGGGTAGGGGAAGAGGGGGAGTTGGGGGAAGTAGGGGCGGGGGGGGGAAGGGAAGGAGGGAGTGGGGATGACGAGACGGGGAACAGATGGAGAGGGAGGAGACCGGACGGGGGAAAGAATGGGTGGAAGGGGGGAAGCCTGGCAGCTGAAGAAAGCGAGGGGAGGTGGGGGATTAAGGTTCCGAACAGGGTACGAGTTTTAAAGTTCTGAACATAGATTCGCCCCACAAACTCACCACAGCATCGTTATACATGCTCGCGGTTTCTGAAAACGCGCCATACTCCCCATCCTCATCATCTTCCTCCTCCTCCGCTTCTCCCTCCTCCCTCTCCTCCCCCTCCTCTAGATCCTCCTGCCCTCGTCTCGCGTCGCTTAGGATTTTCTCCACGTCCGCAGCCGCTGCTGCCGCCGCTTCTGGATCCCGCACTTCCCGCTCCTCCCCCTCCTCCCCCGCCTCCTCCTCCCTCTCCTCCTGCTCGCGCTCCCGCGCCGCCACGGCCGCGGCGAGATCGAACGCCTCGCGGGCCCCGTCGAGGCCGCGCTCTTTCTCCCTGCAGATCGCGACAAAACAGGCGATGCAAAGGGCTTGCGTTCGGGTGTTGCGACGAAACATGTGTTTTATCAGAAGGGACTTCCAGGGTTTGGGATTCAGGATACGGCAATGTTGGGATTTAGGGTTACAGTTAAAGTATCAGGGTTCAGGGTTAAAAATCGAGTTGCACAGATTCCAGCTCTTGCGGGAAATCCCAGATTGGAGAAAAACTCACATCTCCCGCGCGACCTCCTGCTGCTGCTTGCGCGCCAGTCGCGGGAGACATCATTGGGATCACCACGAACGTGACAAGACGAGAAACTCACATCTCCCGCGCGACTTCCTGCTGCTGCTTGCGCGCCTCCTTAAGAATCCGCGCGCTCATCCCCGCGCCGATCACGTCTTCCTCGTCCCCCTCCCCCTCCCCCTGCCGCCGCCGCTGCTTCGGCGCGCGCCGCCGCTTGGCGGCTTGCTCGAGGAGGAACTCGTCGTCCATCTCCTGCTCTAGCGTCGTCGCGTGCGCCGCGCCGCCGCCGCCGCCGCCACCGCCGCCGTGCTTTGTGGAGACCTTCATGCCCTTGGCCTTCAGGTGCAGCCGCTGCTGCTGCTGCGCGGCCACGCGACCCCGCTTCTTCCCCTTCATCGCTGCAAATCACGCTACCGGAGGCCGATAGCTCTCACGAAACCGGAAGGTATTACACTAACGAGGAGCTATGAGTCGAAGTAAAAGACGCGAGGAAGGCGGTGTGACACGGCGAAAGTGCAGGCGAAACTGAGGTAGTTTCCTGTTATTGAAGGGAGACCAATGGCGGGCGGTAGTGAAAAGCAACCTAAATCAGCAGAATCCTCAACCACAGGGTTTAGAGGGAGGTTTGAGGGCGCGAGGGTGCTTTGTATTTGCGATCAAGTAACCACATCGTACGCTCTTCGGTAAAATTTGAACGAGTAGTCCGAAGGCGAAAGTTCTAGTAACAAAGCGAAGCCTGTCAAACAACTGCGACAGCAGCCAGGCTTGGTAACGATTTTCCTGACTGTAACCTTGTTTTCGCGAGAGGCATCACTCAGATGTTCCTAGTGCTTCCTCCACGTGGCTCAGCCTCACCATCCCACGAAACCTCAAATTGCCGCCACGTTGGCGCGGGAATTTCCCGCCTTCCCCCGCTTCTCCCCGCTCCCCTCCCCGCGCCCTCATCCAATTTCCCCTGCAGCACTGCACAAAAACGCATTTCAACCGCTTTAAAGCGAGCAAAGCCTTACTAAACCGCCTCAGAGGGTTGCGGCTGCCCCCTCCTTCCCAAGTCACATCCTCCTAGCTTCTCCTCATCAGCCGCTCTTCTCAGCAACTATTCCAGTAGTAGCCATTTCTTCCCACCTAACATCACTGCCCGCCACAATGTTTGCGCTCGCCTCTTCCCGCGCCGTCGCGTGTGCGCCCGCCGCCGTCGCGCGGGCGTCGCTACAAGCCGCTCGTCCCGCCGGCCGCGTTTCGTTCGCGGCTGTTCGGACGGCCGCTCCCAGCGCGCTGCGATCAGACCTTGTCTCTGCTCGCCCCGCCATCTCCTCCCTCTCGTGCTCGCTCGCAGGTACATCGACCACTAGCTAGTCATCTCCTCGGTCCCTCTCTTCTCGGGTGTTATCGAAAGTGGCTTTCACGTTCCTTTTCCTCCGCATTCTCCTCCTAGCCACTCACCCCGACGCATCTTCCGCGTGCGATCGTTCGCACGTGAACCCGTCGTTTGGACGTAGTGATCCGTCCCTATGCGCTGCAAAGCGAGTTATGCAGGACTTTGACCCTGCGCCTGGGCTCAAAATCCTCATTCCGCGCGCGGTTAGGGTTAATACTGCTCATGGTTAGGGTTTGGCGAGACACGACCTGCTCTCGATTGATCGCGACTTCTCATTTAAATCGTTGGGAGACGGGTGTTTTCAAGGACACTCATGAGGTTTATAATCACAGGCATGGGAATCAAAGTCGGGATACGAAATGCGTGGATACGCGCTTCACGAATGAAGCGCGCCGAGCACCCATTTTCGCATGTGGTAGGGCTTGCGAATGCGGGTTACTAGTATGCGAAGTTGCCCTCGCGAAGTCTTCGGGGTTCGTGGTTTTATGGCCATTGTAGGAGCCATTCTTTGCGTAATCAGTCCGTCTTTGCTCCGCTCTGATCAATGTAGCATCCGTTGATAGGAGAATATGCCGTTATATGATCCCCCATCCCCCTTCCCCCTCTTCCGCCCCATCACCCCCTCCCCCTTCTCCCCCCTCACTCTCTCTCTCTCCCCGTCCACTGTCTCCTCTCCCTCTTACTCGCTGGTAATTTCACACTTCAACCCATCACCCATTTCCCTCTCAATCCCACACACCCTTTGTATCCCCACTTCGCGGTTCCCCCCTCGCTTTCAGACTCTATCCACATAGGAAGTAATATCAGTAGGCGCAGCTCCCTTCCCTTCCGTTTGTAACCCAATTCCTCCTCTCACTTTCTCCCTTACATCTCCCCACGCATTTCCGCACGCGCTTCCCCGCACATCTCCCCACATCCACCCTCTCTTTCCTCCCACTTCAGCCCTTCGTCTCTCCACACATTTCCTAGCGCCTAGTGCTCTCTGCAGGCTGGGTCGTGCAGGAGGCACCACTTTTGACCACCAAGCACCACGCCTCACACAAACAGCACCCCTTCCCCTTCAACCCCCTCTTCCATCCGTTGCCACTCATTATCCATTCCCCCTTCCCCCATCCCTCCTCCCCAATTCCCTCCCCCCGTGCAGGTATGCGCCTCTCCCTAGAGAGCTCTGGGCGCCTGGTGTTCCCCGTTTCAAGGGGCTCTCGGCTGGTGGTGCGAGCAGGAGGCAGCAGCATGGGCTGCACCAAGCGTGTGGAAAAAAAAGTGAAGAAATACGAAAATCTTTGAAACTCCCTCATCCTTTCTCACTGGTTTTCCTTTCCTTTCCCCCCCAACCCCCAATTGGTCTGCAGGGCTGCGCCTCTCCTCGGAGAGCTCTGGACGCATGGTGTTCCCAGTGTCAAGGGGCTCTCGGCTGGTAGTGCGAGCAGGAGGCACCAGCATTGGATGCACCAAGCGCCACGCCTCCCGCAAAAAGCGCGCCCGGGTGTCTGGTTACCGCGCGCGCATCGCCACTAAGGACGGGCTCAATGTGCTGAAGCGCCGCCGCGCCCGTGGCCGTAAGGTGCTTGTGCCCCAGGCCTCATCGCGCACAGGGAAGCGCGCTTAAGGGGGTTGATTTAGTCGCGCACCACTTTGGAGGGTCTTGGTTGGCAACATCAATTGCTTTGTGTGTGTAAGGTCCGATCAATAGCATTGGAAGTTTTGTAATTAACAAAATATCTGTGTGCTAGAAAGTAATTGTTGCTGAACAAACAAGTACATTTCCTGAGAACCTGTTTGGAAGCGGGTGTGAGTTTCTTGACGATTGTTCATGGACGGTTTCGATCAGCTCAATCTGGCGTGCACTTCCACTCGCGGTTCAGATTATCTCTCGTCTGCCACCCTCTGGTAACCTTAAGACATAACGCGGCACGATTCCACCAATCAAGAAGGAATTGGAGATTCCTGCATAACTTTTGCCGACAAGAGGAATTGCGGGTCGCAACTCGTCGCATGGCTTCACAGCACGAATTCTGCCATTCCAGGCATCCCGCTGGAGGCATTAGCGAAGGCAGGGGCAGAGCAAACTGCAAAATGCGTGTGGTCAGAGCATTGGTAACTAGTCACTCTTTCGCTTGATTGTTCGCAAAAAGCAGACTGTCGCGTCGCTTTTCGGCAGATGTGCTCTGGCATTCTCCATGAGCATCCGCGATGCGAAAGCAGGATTCGCGACTCGACGATGTGCACTACTACCTGGTCGGTTCTGGCTCTTTCTGGCCCATCTTTTCCTCCAGCACCACTGCTTCCCCCCCACTGCACCCAGGCCAGTCAAATCCAGTCCAAACCTGACCACTCATTTCTCCCGCGCGCCCGTCTCTTTCTCTCAAATGAAACATCTGCTCTGCACGATCAAGAGCCCCTCGTGCGGGATATGCGGGAGCTCTGTTGATGCACCATCCATCATTTTCCCCTCGCCGGCCTTGCATCACCCTGCCCTCCTGCAATTGCGAATTTGGCGAATTCGCATCTGCGACATGTCACTCCACCATGTCATTGTGAGCATAAGCAGCGTGAGCTAGTACTATCTCGAAACTCCAGTCACTTGCATCCACCCCTCAAAAGCTCCGCACTTTTCGCGGGAATCCGCTTACCATTTTATTTATTCAAGCATCTGAGACATTCTTCATTACGAGCCCCAGTGGAATCTAAGCTAGGCATTTGTTAAATTCCACGACGAACAAAGGTCGCGTCAAGATCCATGGCGAGCCGAAGGCCGCCCACATCGATCCATGGCGTAACCAGAACAAAATCAGAATCCAAGGCCGGCGTATGTCGACTCTCAGCCCGCCCTCTAGTCTTGTTCTTCCTTCTCCTCGTTGCAATCCCTTTTGCCTCCCCCGCGAGCGATCCAAAATACGGAATTGATCCGTGCGCGACACTCGCGAAGAAACTAGAGGCGAGCGTGGCAGCTCTGGCAAAGCAAAACATTATCGTCGATGGATCCGTCGGTTTCGCCACCCCTACGGAGGCGAGAAACTGCCTACGCAACTTTCGCTTCCGGGCAGACCGCGACATCCCCGCTTTAGACACAATCATTAACGCGCTCGACAACCATTACGTGTACAAGCACCTCGCGGTACAATCACCCGAACCGAAGCTTCCGAGCGACGTCGATATTATAACGTATCTAAAATCGATTCGCGAAACGGCGGAGCAAGGCGAGGGGATTAACAGTCTCCTGCGCTTCCACTCGCTTATCTTCCGCGCGATCGACTCGTTGAACGACGGCCATACGTCCATGACGAGCAATTGCTTCTATGGCGTCGGGCTCTACACCCTCCCGCTGCCGCTCGTGTCTGTGGTTGAAGACGGAGAGCAGATCATCCGAGTTGGCAGCCAGGAATGTAAGTAGATCGGTTTTGTGCGGTTGGAATTGGTGTAATTTGGTAAAATTATGGCAAGCAATTGATTACACGGCGTCGGGCTCTACACTCTCCCGCTGCCGCTCGTCTCCGTGGTTGAAGACGGCGAGCAAATCATCCGAGTCGGAAGCACGGAATGTAAGAAGTTTGGTTCTGTTCGGTTCGGTTCGTTGCGGTTCGGTTTCTTCGTGGTTTGGCATGGTTTTTCATTGGCATCCAGCAGAAATCATGTCATAAGTTTTCTGTGAATTTCCCTGCCTGAATTCCACCCTCTACGCTTTTCCCTCACCTCTCTTCCCCGCTTTCCCCCTGTACTTCCCCCGCGCCTCCTTCCCCCCAGTGCTCCGCGGGCGCCCGGACCTTATCGCGCGCGGGCTCTTCGGATTCAACTTCTCCCGCTACGAGGGCAAGCGGGTTGTGACTATAGAGGGCGAGCCGGCGCTCCCGTTTATCGCGCAGTGGGCGGACAAGTACGTGGGGACGTTCCGCAGCGCGGGCGCGCGCTTGAACGCGGCGCTGGCGCACCGCACGGTGAAGGGGCTGGGGGAGATTGACGGGAGTCAAGGCGCGTTCACGGTGCGCTCCATTCCGCCACGGAAAGACGCTCTCACGATGCTGATCCACGTGAAGTGAGTGATTTGGACTTCACCCTTTTGGAAGGTGTGGATTCGGGATTCATCCTTGTAGCGAATCTTGTGAGGGTAGCGCTAGGACACACCGCACAGTAACGGGGATGATGACCGCGTGAGTGCAGGGAGCAATGGGAAAGAAAGAGCTTACGGACTACAAAAGATACAGCTTCTGAACCTTGGCTTGTCAAATGTATACCGTCGTTTTAAAGCCCCCACCTCCCCCTTTCCCCCGAACTCTCCCCTTCCTTCCGCTTGCTTCAGCCCTGCTTCCGCTCCCGAGAGGGTGGTGGTTCCGTGAATCGCGGATTTCCCCCGAGGCGCGTTCAGCGACAGCCGCAGCTACTGGCTTGCCTTTTGCCGGAAAGCGGGGGAGGGGGAGGATGTGGGGGGAAGCACCACGGAAGGTTCTGCCGCTGCTGACGGTGGTGGCGGTGGTGGTGGTGGCACTGATGATGTCGGTGATATTAGTATTGTTAGTGGGAACGCAAGTGGTGATAATGACGGGGTTGATAGTAACGGGGGTGACAAGCTGGCGAAGGGAATGGGGGATTTGGGTATCAGCAAGGCGGGAGGGCTTAGAGGGTTTTCCGTTGCAGTAGGTTCAGGAGGGCCAAAGAAGCGAGTGCCTTTAGCGGATGCGACTGTAATGGGGACGGCGGTAGCAGCAAAGGTGGGGACTGGGAGGAAGGGGGTTCCTATATTGGATGCGACTGTAGTGGGGATGCTGGCGCCAAGGCGGGATCTGGACCCGCCGCCCCTGAGAGTGCGGGAGGTGGGGGTGGTGGAGGAGGACGGAGGAAGGAAGGATGGGGGAGGAAGAAAGGAGGGACTCAACCCTACTTCCCCTGCTGCTGGTGATGGGGGCTCGACTGTGGGTGACGCTGCTGCTGGGGGAGGTGCACCTGAGGCTGGTGCGACTGCTGCCGCCCCAGCCGCCCCGCAGCAGACGGTGCGGCTGTCAGCAGACGGCGATCTGTTCCCCGTGCTGCTGCTGCCGGATGAAACAGCCGTCGTGTGGCTGCACACCTTTAGTACTAAAGGCTTGGATATATCTGCCACGGGGCTCACCCCCTCGCAGTACCTCTACGCCGAGTCCATGCGCGCCCTCAGCATTGCCACAAGGTATGTCTGTGACAAGGTATGTCTGCCACAAGGTATGTCTGTGACAAGGTATGTCTGTGACAAGGTATGTCTGTGACAAGGTATGTCTGTGACAAGGTATGTCTGTGACAAGGTATGCCGGACGAGACAGCGGTCGTGTGGCTGCACACGTTCAGCACCAAAGGATTGGATGTCTCTGCTACGGGGCTTACTCCGTCACAGTATCTCTATGCGGAGTCAATGCGCGCTCTCAGCCTTGCAACAAGGTGAGCCTGGGACCTCGTCCCCCTCGTCTCCCTCTTCCCTCTGATCCCCGTGCTGCTGCTGCCGGATGAGACAGCAGTCGTGTGGCTGCACATCTTCAGCACCAAGGGGATTGATATCTCCGCCACTGGGCTCACTCCAGCACTAAGGGGACTGCAGTGCCTCTGCGCCTGAGATCTGGCGCTTCTAATGCCGCTGTTTACAACCGCCATTACACTCAACCCATGTAACTCTGCCCCCTGTTTGAATCCCTCACAGGCGTGGCAAGCGCATTGTGCTGGATGTGCGGGGGAACAGCGGAGGCATCATTCAGACCGCCTACGGAGTGGTGAGGGCGTTAGCCGGGCCTGCTAAGACCCCTCCCGGGCAGCTGCAGATGCCGCAGCAGCTGATGATCGGAAACGAGTACACTGCGCGACTCATTAAAAGCAGCGCCACTTTTTTTTATAACGCGTCAAATTATTGCAACGAGGCCGAGACCGCGGGGTTGAAAGGACCCGCAGATTTCGGGCCGTTTCAGGAGATTCAGTACTCGACGGACGGGCAGGCTGGAAATTATTCTGCCCGGGTGAAGCTGACGGAGATGCTGACGTTGTACGACCAATCTGATGATTTCAGCGGGCTGCCCATGGTGGTGGTTTCTGACGGAACCTGCTTCTCTGCCTGCGCAGTCCTAACTCACATCTTAAAACGGAAATTCAGCGTCCCCATGGTGACTGTTGGGGGGCTCAAGGACCGGCCAATCGCAGTGAGCTCGTCGTGCCTAGGTGGCACGCTCGGGTCGCTCGACGACGGGATCTCGCTGCCACTTGTCGGCACGCCATTGGCCAACGATCCCCGGGCTACCAAGCCATTTAAAATGCAGATCGACCTGGCGTTTGCGATGCTGCAAGCATACGGGTCTGAGAAAGGCGACAGTCAAGGAGTGGGTGGAGGGCAAGAGATTCCGTGCGAGTTTGATTTCTTAGAGGCGGACGCGCACATTGATTTGAGTATGGAAATGGTGGAGCTGCCTAAAGTGCTATGGGCTGCTGCGGCGGCCCTGCTTCAAAAGGGGATGAGATGAGGAGCTGCGATCTAGTGGGTTACCAATTCGCTTTTGGGACGCCTTGAAGGTACTGTGGGCTGCTGCTGCTGCTGCTGCTGCTGCTGCCCTGATCCCAGAGGGCGAGTCACAAGGCTGCCAGCCTGCCAGGCTGCATAAGTAATAATGGTTGGGCGCTGGTACGGGGTATGATGTTTGAATTGTACCATATGGACGTTATCACAGGGCCAAAAAGCGTGAGTTGTATCCATTACTAACCTTGGTTGGTGTGGCATGATTTAACATTTTCGAAACTGATAGTTTTGATTGTCATGAAAACAAGCACACCCCAGTAATAGTGTGTATACAATAAGTATTTCAGCTGAAAAATTGGCGTCTAATATGCACGAAATATCAAGAATGTGAGCATTTTTAGGTATACATTTTATTGTACATGAGAGAAATCAGCGTCGTTATAACAAGCTTTGTGCTTGAAGTTATCCACGGAACGTCTTGTATTTTCCATTCTTGATCAGCGCATGACCGACCGCTCATATGATCCCATCCCATTCCATCCCAACGCAGATCACATGCTGCACTTGCGTGGCACCGACACTGGCTAGGCGAGTCATCTCACCTGTCCTGACTCACCACCACACCACTGCAGCCGCGCACTTGTCTGACACGCGCACCTAGCAGGTCCACCTTCCACATTCTCGAATCGCATTTTGCCTCGCTGGCAATGACGACAACCCCGCATAGTGCTTCCATTCGCTAGCCCCCTATTGCCAGGAAACGCAGGAAAAATGCAGCAGGATTGCTCTGCTCCTCGAACCGTACGAGTGTCTTTTCGTTCATTGAATGGGCGACGAAGCGTTGAAAACAGCTTTGAGAGGGTTTCGTTGGGAAACCAGAAACTCTCCGGAATTTCAGAGCGTTACCCGTCAAACGTGGAACCCTCCCCGTGCACAGTATCGTGCGTGGACGTTGACCAGTAGGGCAGTAGTGTTCGCGCGGTAAACGCTAGCCCCGAAACACCAGCACCGTCGCGTGACGTCGTATCCCCACACGAGCTGTGTCAGCGTCAGGTTACCCGTCGTCTGCTCAGACGGAGCCGTTCAAACCATTCATCCTCCTGACTGAAATTGAAGTTTCCCTTTCCCCGGCTTTACGAAAATACAAGGTTGGGTTACCTGACCCAGCCAGCCCCAAGGGCGGGAGGGACCGTTGGCCCTTCGAATATGCCGAGGGACCGTCAAGGGGAATCCCTACGAGACACCCATTCCTCAACAGAAGCTTCTGAAACCAGCTTTTCCTCTCAATCCTGGTTTTCACCCGAGCTAGGGTTTCATTCCAGCTGCCTGGTCTCCTGGTCTGGTTCGCCTTTCTTAGCCATATTTCAACACAGCTGCCATATTTTTTCTGTCTGTGCCTCCTGCAGTTCAGCCGATCAGTGTGTGCGTTTGCTAGCGCTTGACGTGAAAATGGATATGAAGAAGCTCGCCATGGAGCATGCCGCTCAGATGTGTCCTTTCCTCCGAAACGTGTCGCTTTCCTCATCCCCTGCTCCGCATTCATCTCCCCTCTCCCACTCCCTCGGGGACCTCTGTGCCGCTTCCGCCACGTTCCCGGGAAAGAAGCCTATCTTTGAGGAAACGTCGTCCTCCTTCGATGTCGCTTTCAGGCTCTTTCACGGCGAAACTGGTGTTGTCCCGCTCGCGAAGACCTGCGACCGCGTCTCCGTTAAGTCAGGCGAAAGCGACGACGGTCAGATCAGCCAGTCGCTTTCCGTAATTCCCGCGCTCCATGCTTCCGGGATTACCGCCGAGAAGAAGTCATCACAGAGCATTTCAACCGCGAAGGAAACCACTAACGCCTTTTCCCTGATGGGTTACGAGACAGCTGGAGAGCAGGATCAGGAGGTTTGTCCGTACGCTGCGGCGTTCGCAGGCGGTCTGGGTGCGTCAGCAGCGACGATCAGCCTGTCGGTGTTCGGCCCATCCGGACCGTTCAGTTATGACTCTTTCCGATCTCGCGGGGAGAGCAGCAAGGAGCAGCTGAGACGGAAGGAGCAGGAGGAGAAGAGGCGACGCGAGGAGGAAGCTTCAAAGGTGAGCTGTTCTCCTTGACGCTTCGAGTTGTTATCTGTGTTCGCTGCCATGCTAGCAGGGACTAAACTCTTGGTCAAGAAGTCAAATAGTTTCTCCTGATAGGCTGGGTTAAGTGCCTCGACCTTACGTCGTCAGCATTGCCATATTTTTCCGTACGCGTTACAGATCTCAAATTTCACGTTGTCGATCCGTAATGCGGAATGACTGATAAGAATCTGGTCGATATTCACTCTGCAGTGGAACTTGAGTTAACCGTGGAATCGCTCATTTCTTTCCCGTGATTGTCATTTTCAGGAGCGAGAGTCTCTACACGAAGCCGAAGGCGAAGAATGGCTCAAGTCGGGTAACTGCCCGATCGCGAAGTCCTACCGAGCGTTTTCGCGAGTGGTGCCACTCATCGCAGCGGCGATCAAGCCCGCGTCCGGATTCCATTACAAATGCCCCGCTCCCATCATCGCCATGCGCGCAGCCGTCGCTAAAACGTCCGCTATGAAAGCCCTCCGGCCGCAGGCCCTCCCGATAAGAACACTCGCTATAGGCACGATCGGCATGATGCTGAACATTCCGCTGGGAGTTTGGCGAGAACATTGCGAAAAGTTTTCGCCACAGTGGATCATCGCCGTACATGCGTCCGTTCCGCTGGTCGCCGTGCTGCGAAAGGCTGCGCTCATGCCGAACTACGCCATGGCCTTCACTATAGCGGCATCCGTTATTGGCCAGGCGATCGGGGCGAGAGTGGAACGGAGACGTCTGAAGAAGCTCAAGGAAGGCACGGAGAGTGCTGAAGTGACTGACACCCTTCCTGGTGGCAGCATTGCAAGCACCAGCACCAACAGCAACAGCAGCTTCAAGTCTGCTGCCATTCCAAGGCTCCCCCAGCGCTCTGTCATGCTGTCTAAGACACGCAACGATTCTCGGGCTGTTCGTGTCGGGGCATCAGCAGGGGCAGGTTCTTGCACGGCCGCTGCTGGTAAGGAGGGTGTGAGTGCGCTTGTAAGCTCCATGGCTATTGGCGCTGGTGGAGGAGCGAGTGCTAACAGCCCATTGAAGGTTGCTGCTGCTGCGCATTGATGGGTGCTGCTGCTGGCACTGGCACTGATGCGTTTCCCCTGCTGGCAGTGGCACTGCCAGCTGCTGCTGAATTGAACCAATGGAGGATACGCTTTGGGAAACTAGAATCGGGTAGCAAGCATGACTCTAGCATAACATTTATGGTCCCTCCCAGTGTTGTAAGGAAATTACATCTTTACCAGTAATATTGTTGTTACATTGGGCAACCTCAAATAAGGGCTGGGAAAATCAAGACAAGATATATCAATTATGGTACAAGCATGCTTTTATCTACCAACTCCTACACCACCTGTCTGTATGTACACTAAAACCACTACATTGTACAGTCATCACAACAAGTGGGTTGTGTTCTTCCACCTCTAGACACACCACCCGTGTGCTAAAATGCACAATCACCAAGAAAGGCCAGCCGACCACGTGCAGTGCAGACACCCTGCAGCACTGAAAAGTGTCAGAGGTCCACTGGTGATCCCCGATTGATCCTAGGGAAGGGTTACAGGCTCGTTGTCCTGGGGGGTTGTGGGCGCACTGACCCGCTACTTAACAAGCCATTTTATCCTAATGGTCTAGTGGTTGGGATTCTCACAAAATGCCATTCCATATCCACAATATAGCCAGTTGCATCAGACTTTTGAGACGTCTCAGAAGTTGTCGTGCCAGACCCGCCAACCAATTGCATGCACCCTGCAACGCTGAACAACCCTTCAATATCAAGTACAAAGGAAAGCACAAACACCACAGCAGTATATCCAGCCACACCAGAAGCACAAACAGAGGAAATGCATGCACCAGAAACAACATTCTCTTCGATTGCACACCGGGAAGGCAGTCAAGAAGCCATGGCACGTCCGACACCCTGCCCACCCCCTTCATATCCAGATGTTGCGGCTTGGGCAGTTGGTTGTAAGATAAGTTCCAGAGAATAATCAGGTTGCCCAAGGAGTGTAGGGTGGGCATGTGAAGGGCAGGGAAGGAGAAGTTTATTGGGAGGGATGAGATGAGCGGGAAGTTGGATTTTTTTAATTCGGTGAGGGACATTAGGCCCGGGAGCTGTTCGGTGATATTTGGTGCAGGAACAGAGGCAGAGAGATAGGCCGAGATACAGGCAAAGACACATAGGAAGGTGGACACCAGCAATGCAGCAGCAAGCAGCATGGCAGGATAAGCACGGGGAACCAGAGCAATTAGCAGCACCACCACGAGAAGAATCAGCGACCCAACGGTGCCAAAGGTGTTCTTGCTTCTTGCGGCAGCAAAAACGAGCATGGTAGCAGGGACAAGCATCACCGGAAGTCGGATGTCGTGTACGGCGGTGCTATGAGCTCTTGTTGCATGGTGCGGAGTGGTACGGAGATCAGCAGCGTCAAGGCAAAGACTTCAGCAGTGCAGACTGCACCAGTGGTCACCCTTTCAGCCAGCCTGAACGGTTTTGACTCACGTTCACACCATTCAGGGAGGGGTGGTGGGGTCAGCGGCTTCAGAGACTCTATAAGAGAGCATGACTCGATATGGAGTGATTCTAAGCGAGTCAGTGTGTACAGTGAGGGAGGAAGCTCCTTAAGCTGCTCGCACCCCATCAGACTCAGCTTTTCCAGGCATGCTGGCAGGCTGCCTTCACAAAATCCCTCAGGCAGATGCTCTAGTGCGGGCAGACCCAGCTCGAGAGTTTTCAACGGGGGTAAATTACCCAGGCTTTCGGGCAAAGCCCAGATATTATGAAGGTCGAGGAGCTGTAGGGTTTCCAGATGGGACAAGGCGCCAACGTGGTGTGGGAGTGAGGTCAGGGAGAAGGAGGAGAAGTTTGAGAGTGAGGAGAGAGGGAGGAAGCAGATGTTTTCTGGGAGGATCTCGAGGGTATCA